TTCCTTTCTGTCATAAATTACAATATACAGATTGAAATCTAAACAGCTGCATCCCAAAATCTCTTAGTCTTCAGTTTTAGCAGGACTGGCTGTTTTCCAATTAATGATTCTCCTTCTAACACCAAGTTAATGAACCCTGTGGGAACACACCTATGAAAGGACATGGATGGGAACCCTGCACTGTCATTCTGTGATTCAGTGTTTGAAAAGAGCATCCTGATGGTCTAGCCAGTTTGGACAGACTCCTTGAAATACCAGCATCTCCATTCCCAAGTTTTCCTGGCTTTGGACATGGTTGTGATGATGGTTGCACAGTTGTTTCTTCTTCCACTCATTCACTATCACACCTGTGCCCTGCATTACACCACAGCCTGCCTCTTTTTGTCTCACTCCAGAAAACAGGTACCTGATTCTCCTTGATCTTACAATGTTGTAAATCAGAAATCAGGCATCCCAGAGGTCTCATGCACTCCTCTGTGCTGCTGAGAGACCAGTCTGTAGAGTGGCAATATTTTCTGGCTTAGCTCATGCCTTTTCTGCAAATCCTACTAGGCAGGGGGCTAAAGATGCTTTTTGCCTGTGCCTGGAACAGGAATGTGGCTGAGATTCTCAGTAGTTATTTCAAGCAACACATGCTAATGACCAGCCATTCAACAGTACTGACCATTCACTGATCCTACATAGGACCTCCAAGAATGTGTGTTAATCCAGACTGAGTAATTTAGGCTCATCTTAGCTCTAGAGAAGTCCTGAACATGGCAGGTGCCTTGATGATGAAGACATTACATTACATGTGCATGAAATCCAGACATGCACCTGCAGAGGAAGATCCCACTGGTTACACACAAGAGGCTGGTGAGCTGTGGGGTTAGAGACCAGCCCCAAGGCTTTGCTCCTCTTCAGTCTTACCCTGATCTCTAGATTGGCTTCAGATGTGAAGTGTGAATATTACTTGCAGAAGTGTTATCATTAATTGTTCTGACACTAAGTAGTCTTAATAACCACATGGCTTTACAATCACTCATTAAACTTTAGTTCCTTGTCTTGCTGATGTCCTGCAGCAAGGAGCTCCACAGCCTAATCACATATCACATGGAAATGTATGCCCTAATATCCATTGTAAATTGTCTTCCCTTCCAATTTCCTTGAAGGTCTTCATGTTCTCTTATTAAGGAGTTGGTGTCCCAAAAGTCTAGAGGGAACTTTGGTGGGAAAGATAGTCTATTTTCAAGCATTTCTATCGAATTCTGAGCTAAGTCCAAGCCTGCAAGCAAAATAGTCCACAAACTGTTCTCTCTGATCCTCCTTATCCAACCAAATCTATCTGCACTGACTTTTCAAATCTCCATCCTTACAGCATCTTTCCTCAGAACAGAGAAACAGAGAAATGCAGACTGAAACTGATAGGTAAGAAAAGATGTACACGCACTCTAACTGACAATCTAACAAGCAATCCTTGAAACATATGGATTTCCAAATTATCTCAGTTTTATTTAAGAACGCTTTTCTATTTATTTTCAGCACAGCTAGCATAACTTCCAAGATCCCAAACTCCACAGTACTGCTAACTCCTTGTGACATGGGCAAACAGTTTATCTGCTGATGTGAAGGGACTTTTCACCCATGTTTTTTCCTGCTCATCTCCACAACTTGCTCTCAGCTTGGAATCATACCAAATACTGTGAAACATTTGTGAGAGTAGAGCTCATCTTCATTTCTTTCTCTTGCAGAATATTGTCAGAGATCCAGGAAAGCCAATAAAATTCTGCAAACACTTAGCACTACCCAAAACAGAAGAAAATACTCCAGCATTTTCATTTCTTGCTTTCTCTCCAGAGCTCTGACGTTCAATCCAGAGCCTCAGAATTTCCTGACACAACGGTGCCGGATGTTCAGTCATTGAAACCTTTGAAAATGCCAAGCAAGTCCCCGAAAGGCAATGCCATTACCAAGTGCAGAGTTCAGTCTCTCAGCTTTCATGATGTTAAGCTCTCATTTTCAGTGAAAGCAATTGCCTTTTTCAGCTGCCAGACCTGAGAAGAGCTTGCTGGTCGTGCCCTCAAATGGGAGCCCAGATGCTGTGATCCCCCGATCACCAGATCCACTCTTTCTTGTCTGCAACCCACATTTCTCTTGAGTAACATGCAAGGATCAGAATAGTTTCACAATAATGAGCTTTCCTCCTTCCTACAGTCCTCAGCACATTTTTAAATGAAAGAATCAGCTTACCCATAAGAGCCACAAACACACACGAGGAGCTTAAGATATAAGCAATTCAGTAACCTGAAGTATCATGTATATTGGGCAATCATAAATTTAAAGTGAAAATCCCTACTGATTTTGTTTTGCATTATATATTAAGTAAAACCTATTGCAAAGCCAGATTACTAAGAAACCTTTTTGGCTGTTGTTTTGGTTAGGTTTTTTTATATCGAAGCAGGATTAAAACTTCTTTTGGAGACTCACTGTCATTTTATCTGGGTAAATAAGCTTAGAGCACCTAACAGTCAATTTATAATGATGGCTTTTGTTCTTGGTACTGTGATGCAGCCCCGCAAATTTACCCACAGCTGCAGCAGTTTTAGATGGTTTTGACAGGTAAATAAAACAGTGTTTATATCTGTCATTGTCATTAATCTACAGAGTAAAGAACTAGCAATTATATTTTGTTTCCAAGCAGATAAATTTTCGTGATGATCTTGGGAGAGGTGGTAGAGAGTAATGTGCATCTATGACTTTTATAGTTGTGAAAGTCCAAAACATGAAGAGTCTTTGCTCAGCTGTTGAGTTGGAAAACAAATGGGAAACAAAGACTAAACCAGTAATAACCACCATAATAACAAAGAAAAGGAATTTGGGATTTAGCCCCATTGGATTTTTATTGACATAAGGGCCAAGTAAACCAAAGTACAGGTCTTGACATCATCTGCACCAATTCAGCACTCAGTTATTCTGAAACATACTTCCAGGAATCTGTGTCAGGATCTGGGGATCTGGCTGTGCTTTAAAACCTCATGATTTGGGCCTCCATAATGTGCTTCCCAGCTGCTGCAGGGCAAAGGGTTTCAGATACTCCTCAAGCTATGCTGGTGAAGAAAAAATTATTTACAGAATAAGGTAAAGCTCAAGGACGAGTGGCAGAATCCAGCCATAAGTGTCTTATTATATTGGTCAGAAACTGTGAGAAGCAAAAAAAAGAGAAATCCCGGTGAAACTCTATTGATGCCAGTCACGTCTGCCCAGCTTCTCACTCAGGTAGGCTGGCAGATGGTCAGCAAATAGTCTCACTTTTACAATGCAACCTACACTGGTTTTCAGTGTGAAAATTAGCATCCAATTATTTTCAAGCATTAATGTTCTCCAAGGAAGAGAGCTACCTTTATTTTAATTCTGCTTAGGTTCTATTTGCTCTGACACGTAAGCCAATCTTGCAGGTGCTACGTCTCATGTACACAGGCAGAATGGCAAGCCAGGGAAGAGTACTAGAAATGTGGAATAATGTAAATTCCCAGGGAGTGAATTGCATGGCTTCCAACTTTGAGAAGAGACATGAAGAAGACAAATAAGTGAGAAAGGCATACGATATCTCCAAAAAAGAATTATTTTCCCCATCCCCATCTAAAATCCTATGATCAAAACTGTCTCACAGCATAAACCATTAGAGATGGCTACTGAGAACTGAGCTGTGACCTATGGGACCCTTGGTATGACACATCCAGCAGGGCTGTGGATATTGGGATGGGTTGGTGGCAGGCCCTGCTTCTCCCAAAGAAGAATGGAAGCCTATTCCGCACCTCCCAGCCCCCATCACCACCATCCTTGAACCAGCATAAGGGAAGGCACGATCACTGCATTACAGATGTAGGTAGCTCTGGGAAAGGCAGGATGTGTGCCAGAGCGTGGCCACTCTCAGATGAGAACTAGCTTTCCTTAGCACAGCACACAGGTCTGTGAAGGGGAAAGAAGATATGGGGCAAACCCCATTCAAGGTTTCAATGTATTACCTTACATGCCAGAATCTGTGCCCAAAATGGAAATAATATCAGTATAGTCAAATCTCTTAACCCTTTCCCATGCAAAGATCCCCTATTAAGACAGTTAATGGGACTATCCCAAGTAGGAAAGGTTATCAGCATATATGGGCTTGATCCCACAGAGGTCTGCAGCCTTCCTTGTCACCTGCAAGCCATGTCATATTAGGTACAAATGTTGCTGAGTACATCACTATAAGGAAGTTGCCAGCCTGAAAATGCACGAGCTGCTTTTAATTGTCATTAAATATGGAGAATAATGCCCTAAGGTGGCATCTTATGTTCTAGCACAGTTGCATTTGTTTCATTCTCCTGTGTGGTGTAGGGAAACTTCACTGGCCTAACCTCAGTCTGTTCCAACAAGCACCTCAAGGCTCAAGCTTCAACAGCTACAGTTGTAACCACACGGTTTTCTCCTCCAGCTAGTGCAACTGGGAGCATGGGAGCAGTGGAGCACCTGCAGAGCTCCTACTAGCCGTCCCCTGGGAACCACTGAAGTGGAGCTGTCTCCTGCCACATGTCTTTGTAGAGGCTGAAGCTGTATTTTTAAAAGCAAACAGCACATTAAACTCGTCCTTTGCATCACTTCTGGTATCATTGCAACTGGGCACCCACAAAGCAAGGAAAAGCCTCCCTTGCTGAGCTCCACTCTGCTTCAAGAAGGCGTCAGCGCGTCCCTCCCATGCCACAGCTGTACAGCTCTGAGGCTGGGCATGGGCTCCCGGGGCAGGACTGCCCCGGGAGAGGGCAGATGGAGCAGACCTCCACCCCACGCTTCCCGGGGAAACACTACCGAGGTGCAAAATCCTAAAGCCCGGGCCTGGGCAGAAGGCAGAGGCTCCATGGCTTTCGGGTCCTGCTCCGGGCACCAGTGACATCCCTGCAAGCATCAGGCCCCACGTCCCGCAGGCTGGGGCATCGCTGCCATCGGTCCCCCCGCCCCGGTGCCCACCGCCCGCGGCCGCTCACCTGCTCGGGCCCCTGGAAGCAGATCCTGCAGAGCGGGGTGCGGATGCCGCTGTCGACGCTGCTGCCCAGCGAGTATCGGTCCTCGGCCTTGCCCTTGCCGAAGTCATCCGAGGAGGTGCTGCTGGGCAGGGAGGCGGCGGCTCCCCCGCCGGGCTGCCCCACTCCTCGGCGGCCGGCTGCCCGCGCCGCCGCCGCCGCCCGCCGCCGCCCGCCAGCCGGGCCCGCGCCCCCCGGGCGGAGCGGCCCCCGCCGCCGCCTCTGCGCCGCCGGGCATGGGGAGCGGCGGCGGCGGGGAGGGCGGCGGCGGCGCGGGGGGTCTCCGCAGCAGGAAGACCTTCAGGTCATTGAAGAGCATGCGGCAGCGGCACTTGAGGAGGCCTTGGTTTCGCAACATCTGTCTCGGACGGAGGAGCCCGCAGCAGCAGTAGCAGAAAATGCCCGCGCCGGGTGGTATTAACATGTGCCTTTCCTTGGCAGGCGGGCACGGGGGGGAAAAGAAAAGGGCAGGAGCCGGGCGCCCCGCGGCCGGGGGGCTCCGCGGCGGCCGCAGTGCCCGGGGGCTGCGCTGGTCGCCGGGGAAGGGACAAAAGCAGAGCCGGAGGGCGAGGGGGCGGAATCCCCGGCAGCCCGCTGCAACCCGGCGGGGATAGCCACTGAAAGAAAAATCCACACCAGAAAAAAACCCGACTCTGCGCTGCTCGGGGACCCTTTGCTCCCCTCCACAAGTTTGCTTAGAAATCAGCGGGAGGAGGAGGGAATAAATCTCCCACGCCCGAGGGTCCAGGGGCGCAGGCAGCGGGCTCGGGAGAAAAGCCCCCGATCAGCTCTCGCAACTCCTAAGCCTTTAAAAAAGAAGGGTCCACGTCTCCAGTGGGTGTGGGGAGGAGGGAGAAAATGGTTCTCTCGACAGTATTTGGCATCTCAAGTAATTTTCCTTTTTCTTCTATTTTGTAATTTTTTTTCAATTAAAAAATAAAACCTGATCACACGAATCCTGGTGTGAACCCAGACAAAATAGCAGCTGGTCTGGCTATCAAAATGCAAAATTGGTAGCTGTTGTTATTATCAAAATTGCTTCTTTGACAAAAAAGACCTTCACATTGTTTGTGGGAAAACACCCTACGTTTCCAACACTGTACTCCCAGGTGGCTTCAGATTTTACCGTTGCCTTTAAAAGATTTCATTGTAAATATTAAAAGTCCTGAAAGAAATAATTAGCATTCAATGAGCTTAATCCCAGAGGTACTGAGACAAATATATTTTTATATATATAATATATATATCATATATATTTTATATATATTTATATATTCTGACCTTCTCTATTCCAGCAGCTGTCTGGACCACACACAAAAAAAAAAATCAGAGCGAAATTGGTGAGGGAAGGCAGCTGTATTATTCCCTAAGCTGTTACCATCCTGGACCAAAAAACCCCGTCGAAATCGAATCTATTCTTCGCATGTAATTGACCGGGGAAACGTGGATCTTACATGGTCACGTTTCCTTTCCTCCTTTCACAAAACAGGAACGTCATCAAACGCATTGGCAGCTTGTACAGACCATTGTGGATGGCGAGGCGGCCAGGACTCTATCAGCAATTGCAGGAACCTCCTTTTGATGCATTGGACGAGGCTCCTTCTTTCTCTCCACCACCGTCCCCACCTTCATTTTCCTCCCCTTCTGTCCTCCTCCTCTGACTGTTGCTCTCTCTCACAGGCATTGACATTCAACCATCGCAAGTCTGTCGCACTCTCGCTGTCAGGAAAAAAAAAATCGGAGCAGATAATTCTCTTCTTCCTCCTAAAAGGCTAGGATAAAGCACAATGCGCCAGACACATGGGGCAGCATGGCTTATTTTTCGTGCGGCTCCTACCGCTTTGGCAACATCGAGCTGGTGTATGCGTGTGTGCCTTCCTCTCTCAGCAGCAGCCTCCTCTCCGCTCTCCCATCCGGCTTGCCGTGATGATGTTGCTGTTGCTACCTCCCTTGGATGCAATGGGGAAGGCAGATTGTTTGCAGTGCGAGCGGGGATTTGCAGGAAGGGAGGGGTGGAACGTGGCCGCGCTCTCCTCCCTCCCCGGCTCAAAAAAAAAAAAAAAAAAAAAAAAAGGAAAGAAGAAGCAAAAAGGCGGGGTGAGGAGGGGGAGAATCAAGGAATCAAGGGAGGAATGGGGCCCTTCCCAACCTTTGATGCCCCGGGCTGTCGGCTGCCTGCGAGAGCCCACGCCGGGGAGGAAGGGGAGGAGGGGCGGGGGAAGGGGCTGGGCGGCCGCTGCGGCTTCAGCACCACGGGGCGCGGACAGCTCCGCCGGGCGGGGCGCGGCGTCTCCGCGCTGCGCTGCGCCTCCGGCCGCTCCCCGCCCGCCCCCCGCCCGCGGCGGCCCCGGAGTCCCGCACCGGCCCCGCCGAGCGCGGCACTGCGGGACGCGGCCCCGCCGCCTCGGGGGAGCCGGAAGGCAGCGAAGCCTCTGCGCCCCGGCGTGTTCCAGGCTGGTTTCCACCTCCCTCCGACCGCTGCGTGGACCTGTGAAACACGGGAACTTCCAGGGGCAGGTGGCAGCGCCCGCGCGTTCAGTGATGTATCGGGCAGCGGTGCCGGCTTTACAGGTTCCCAGCAGGAAGCCGAAATACCACCAACAAACTTTTCCCTGGCAGATTAATTAGTTACAGAGGATTTCATGGTCTAATAGCTATGATATTATTTTTTCATTTTACTCCAGCAGCGTTTACTCACTGATAATTTGGGGGTTTTTTTTCAGTAGCATATATTGCAGTAGAAATATGTGTTCCTTGTAGCCCAATGAAGGGTAAATATGACTGAACACTATTGCTTAATTAGAAGAGTTTTGCTGCAAGTAACAAATTGATGCCAAGGCCGATAATTTTTACTCTCTCAGCCCGCTTGAAAATTTTAAGTAGCAGCTGCTGAAGGCCATTAGCTTTTCCCTGCAATCATCAGCAGAAGAGGCTTTCTCCACATTGTCCTCCTATATGTGTCCATGCAGACCCATCCAGCCTCTGAATACAACGGGAAACTCAGGTCTTCACTGGACTTCATATTTGCCATCCCAGGCAGAACAGTTGACAAAGGTGCTGGGTTTGATGTGGACCAAAAGTACTCAATGATAAAGAAGATCTGAAGGCTTCTAGACCATGCAGTATGGCTAATGTCAGTGCAATGTCTCAGCTCAGGGACCAGTGAACACTCTCCAGATGGGATGCACCTCTTGGTGCCCGGGTTTGCCATCATGTCAACACCTTGAAACTTCAGGCTCCTTAATTTGGTTTCTCCATAGGATTTCCTTCTGCTTCAGGAGGCCATAGCAGGTACCAATGCCCAGTCTGAGTTCTCTAGCTGGTCTTGTGCATGAGGTCTTCAATGGCAGTGACCTAAGCATTACCACTGACACATAATCTCATGTCTTAAAAGTTGTACTGGGTCCTAGACAATGATTTGAAATTGTTTCCCATAGAAAAAGACGTGATATGCATAGACCACTGTGTCATGATTAGCAGAGGAATCTATGTTGTTACCTAATTAAAAAGGGAGCAAAACTGATTATTCACTACAGGAAAATGAAAACAGCACATGCAATTAATTTCCAGGAAATAAATTACACATTGGGATGCTCTAAAACATTCATCAATGCAGCCTGCCATTCCTCAGAAAAACTGGGCAGATTTGCCAGTGTGTCTCTCTACAACATATTTAAAGCTTCTCAGAATTTCACACGTGTCTAATGGGGTCATTAGAGAAATAATAATGGAAAGAGCTTTTTAGAGACTTCCTGAGCATGCGACAGGCTGGCTAGAGGCCAAGTCTCTGTGTCCATGCTCCCACTAACCACCTCATCCCTGCTTTTTATTGCTCCCATCTTCTTGTCTTGATGTCACTAACATTTTCAAAATGGTTCCATCGATAACAGAATTGGAGAAAAATATATTGTTGTCATCCTTTTCCTGTGTAAAGTATCTTCCATCCTTCCTTCCTGCCCATGCTTGGTTTTACAAAAAGGATATGCTCAGAGTAGAAGAGATCTTTGTGTTACACTCTGGGTTTTAATGTATGGGTTGTGTGCCCAAACAGCTGAATGGCTGATAAGTGTGACAAAATAAATAAAACAAATAATAAAACAGGGGTGCTCCATATGCTTCCCAGAGGTGAGTGGGTACTATTATTCCTGCTTCAGTAAATGGGCCAGCTGCCAATGTTTTCACACTTGGATGCAGCATTCAGGTCCCTTGGTATGGATCAAGGCACCTTGCTTAAAATGCTCTCACTGGAAGGAGCTGGCCCTAGACACTTTGGCAACATCCCAGTGAGAGTCAGGGGCTGTCAGGAGGCCAATGCAGCCTTCCTAAATTTGCTCCACAAGAAGCAATGTGCAGCAAATAATGGGCAACACCTTCTCCTTTTGCAGAAGGGCCTGTTTCTGGGAGTTTTGATGCTGTGTCTCTTGACCCCACTAACAGGCAAGAGGTTAACATAGGAAAGAAACATACAGGAGACATCATCTCTGACACTACCTCTGTCCTCCTCAGGTACAGAAAGAGGAACAAAAAGACATAGATTGATCAGCTAAGAGTGGAGAACTGGTTCCTCTTGGTTGGTTACATTCAAGCTACTGACTGAGAAATCAGAAGGGGAGATGCCCAGGCATCTCAGCACAGACCTGCAGGCCTGTTTGTTTTGGAAGGATTCAGGTGTCAGGCTGCAGGTTGGTCTCACAGCAGACATTCTAATGCTGCTTTCTAGAGCAGAGTGTGGGCCCACTGGCCCTCAGCTACCGCCTCAACAAGGAGGAAAAAACCTCTCTGTACAAGTCATCCCTCAGAGCAGAGGGAGTGGAGGAAGGAAGAAAGAGGGTGGCTAGAGCTGCAGCAACACTTGATCCGCCTATGTGGCAGCCTGATATAAAATCATATCAGCGATTTTTTTTTATTTTAATGTTGTTAGGTCACGGATTTAAAAAAAGGCAGAGATAGTGAGAGGGCAAATGCAAGCAGGAAAGCACTGTGTGGACTGCAGCAGAACAGCTTGAACACAGCATACTGTTCATTGTGCACAAGTATGTGATAGACAGACAATATAAATGCTGATTTGGACAGTGAGGACCGGGGAGTCAGAAAGCTGCCAGAGAAACATTCCTTTCTGTTTTCCATCTCTCAGAAAGTAAACAGTTACCTAAACCCATTTTCTTGCCCACCTACTCGGTCAATAGCTGCACTGCGCCTCCTGCTCCACTTACAGCTCCTTAATGGTGCAGAGGAGCTTTGATTGCCGTGGCGTGGGCCCTATCCCTCTGGCAAACCATTACTTAAATCCAACACATCGAAGGTTCCTACTGCTCTCTCACTGATGGGGAGCTGCTCATCAGCTGAGTACCCTCTGATTGCTTGTCACAGCCAGACTTCCTAGTTCTTTTTCCCGGATGGAGATATCAAATAAATCTCAAGTGA